GTTCAGAAACAGTATTTTATGCTGTTCAGCGGTAATATGACGTAATGCATGGACAATATCAACGAACGTACTCCACAAACCATGGGGTGACGTCACAAATAGGTTTCACGACTTCGGGTTGAGTCTGCGCGTGCCAGCCGTGTCAAATATCAGAATTGACTTCTGGATCCTTGGGTATTGAGGGACTTAACGAATCAGACTGTCTTCAAGCTTCCAAACCACAGCTGTCTTTTATATCTTTCTTGCTCTGAGTTTGGTTTTGTTTTGTTAGGCCAGGTGGTTTCTTGCCAAATGTCATTAGGAGAACTAGAGAAGAGCCAGAGGGAACCTGATTTTCTCACAGATGATCGTATCTCACGTTACTACTGTCAGAACAGCAGGTGGAACATGTTCAGCAATAATGACAAAAAGTTATACTTAATAAAATGTATGCTTTTCGTTAATAAGATCAGACACTGATGATGCAGAAGGCTTGATTATCTGTTAACCTTCTCCAATTTGGCATTTAATTTCTACAAACAAAGGTTTTGCTTAGATTTATACATTCCATAGCCAGGAATTATTGAGCAAAGTGTTATTTTGACAGTCGACTCAGAAATATAAGAAATATGGAATCTGGAGGTATACAATATGGACTTTTATTTGTTGAATTTCTCCACATTTGGTGCAGTAGAATATTGCTTGATATCTTAAGATATACTTGATTTCTCTATAATGTGTGAGGAAGCAAAGCTATACCATCCATAGCAGAGAATTTATTGAGCAAATATGGTTTTTACAGTACCTCAAATAGAGAAAGATCCGCCACTTTGGAGTACAAATAATGGAACTTTTGTTTTGGCATTTCCTTCCACATTAGCAGTTAAAAATGCTTGATATTAAGTATGTTTTGTTCTTTTTTCGTTATTCATCCATGGGCGCCATGAAAGCAGCTCTTAATGTAAACATTTTTTTTTAATTGTTAGGTTCGAATTATATGCCTTATCTTTCTTAATACCTTTATTTTGAAAATCGGAAAGTGAATACGCTGTTTCTCCCACAATTAACCATAAATTGCTGAGATAGTACTTGAACACTCGCAGTTATCATATCACGATCATTATCTTGAGATCTCGAATTAATTATACTCTTGTATCTCCGGGAAAATACAAGAGTTTCGTTGGGGTCTGAGGATCTCAAAAAATCCACCTAACTCTGATTATCACGGGAAAACGGAGGAAATAAAATGTATGAATGCATGGCCCTTTAGGGCTTCCGTAGGTACTGGGCGATAAAAACATTTTTTTTTTTGCCAAGAAGACACAAAATATAGAAAATATTAGACTGAACTCCTGGACGTTGAGTTGCAGCAGTAAGTTTTACCTGGATTCACCTGATCACTGAACTTTATGAAATGAGGATTTGTGTTTAATTCTTTGTACATGAGGTGTTCTTTTAGGATTTCTTGTTTCTTGATTTTTAGCCAAGAGCTTGTAGACTGCTTTTACAGACGGACAGCGTCTGTTACTTTCAGAAATATTTCCACTTAACAAAGCTCATTCATCACTCACCATCTGCTGCGTGGATGCCAGTGGCAAGATAAGAGTGAGCTAACCTGGCCAGTTCTGCTGTCTGTTTACTGTTTAATGTGTCTGCTTTCTGCTGTCGGTGTGATTGATTCCTCACCTTTTTTGTAATGATATAAGAGACATTGTCCTCCATGAAAACCTGATCATCATCATACACTTCTAAGCCTAATGTCTTTTTAATCCAGTTAACTTACTCAATAAGGTACAATAGTTTGGAGGATGCTTGAATCACAGTTGTGAGGCTTTTGGTGAGTAAAATACAAATTAGGGGAGAGCTGTTGTGCACTCACATTACAGAGTGAGAGAAAAGAGTTTCACTTTGACAAAAGAAGCAGCTCCTGGACGGTGAACAGTGGGAAAGTGTTGGATGGAACAAATGTGATGTCCCCTTTTGTTCCACAAATTCAGAGGGTGGAGCTGAGACCAGGTCAGAGATTCAGGGCACCTGAGTAGGCTGGGCTCAGGAGTCCATAAATCAGACCTACAAGATCCTCTCACACTCCTCCTCTGGCCTGCCAGCTGGTATTGTTACATCCCCGCGAGGAAGTATGAAATCTGAATGCTTCCTTTCACAGATGACATGAAAGACTCTTTGAGCATCAAAGATCACAACATCCTTGAGAAATACAAAACTGGTCACATTTCAACTGGTGGTTATAAAATTGCAAACTTATTTTCAGTAGATATGGACTTAAATGTCAATTACCCTGAACGCAGAGAATTACCCCACTCTTTTGCCGACCACATTTCCAAATGCATGGTCTGCCAGCATGCCATGACAAATGATTCAATATTCATCCAGACCAGCTGACCAAGATCTTTCAGTAATACACAAACACATATACATATATGCAAACAACAAGACTGTGTTATTCCCCAGTAGGAATCTGTGTTTAACAGCCATTGCAAATCACTTTAGGGAAGGATTGAGAAAGAATGTTCTATCAAAATTGGATCTTTTCCTGTCTTAACTTTTGGCAGACATTATGTGGTTGGGAAAGTTTATAGTCAATGACATTAGCTGCACGAGGCTGCCTAATTCACCACTAAAACACTACTTCTACTTACAAAATATTTCACCACTTATTAAAGTCTCCTACAGAAGACATTATACTTTCCATATCTGCAGAGCTGTAGGGTCTGTTCAATGTAATTTTTCAATCTGCACATGTCAGAGCTAAGCAGCCACGAGCAGCTGCTGTCAGAGTCTGCTGGAGCTTCGACAGTCACTAGAAGCACATTCACATCAATTTGTAAAAGTTTCTGTTTGGTACCTGTGTTGCAACGTTAGCTAAGCTAGTGGCTCAGAGCTAACTGAGCTAACCGGACATGAGCAGCTGCTGTCAGACTCTCTGTGTCCGTGTTGGAAACACTGTGTCCACTGGAGTTTTAACAGTCACTAGAAGCACATTCACAGAAGTTTGTAAAAGTTTGTCACACTGCGGCGACATAGCAAGCCAGAGTCTGCATGGTCAGAACGTTAGTTTTGTAGGAAGGGACGGGGAGGGGGGCTGGTTGGCAGCTGTGGCACCAGAGAATTGTGATTGGGGGAGCTACAGGGGTTGGTGCTAATGTTTTTTGATACAACAAACAATAACAAACAATGCTACTACAGAAAAACAAGACTGGCATAATAATTGAAATGCACATTACAACATTTTTAGCGTTATACAAAAGCAAGCACAATTAATATATTATTATTATATATCAATATAATATAGAATTAAGAAATCAAATGTTTAGAAGAACAAGCACAAATGCAAAATAACAATCTAGCAGGTAAATCAACTGTTTCCTTTTCGATAGGCGACGTCATTACTAGCCTCCTTGTTAACATGTGGCTAACCTGCTGCTGTGAAAACGGTATCGCAAGTGAAAACATTACGAACACGAGTTGTGTTTCTTGGGCAACTTTATAAACTTACTGCAAATTAGGGGGGCTCTGCCTTTTTCAGTCGGAGCTTGAGACCCCCCTGGCCCCTCCCTCCCATCGCCTTTGCTGCTTGGTGACGAAAGCTACCTCCACTTACGCCTCGAGAACAGCCAATAGCGAAATTATATTGCAATAGCCAGTTTTCAACCAGTGGAGGGAGGTCTAAATGCATATTTATAGCACAACATGTAGAATACAGGTAACAAGATTTGGACCTGAATCGATCAATAACACAATAAATTTAGTTACTCTTTAATTACACTCAGTCAGGTGAAGGCAGCATTCCTTGTACTAAGCCTTGTGGCATACCACAAAAGAAACTAAAGAAGAAGATACCCTGTGTGTGTGCACATATCACCTTCCAGTAAAAAGTGACTGACAAGATGCAGGTTTCAGATGAGCACAAAGACATGAAATTACTCCAATGACCCTTGCATAATAATATTGTTGGCAGCATGTCACGTGTTGTATTGAAGTTCAGTAGTTCAGAGTTGTAGCAGCCAGCATCCATATTGCCGTTGCCTCTCTCACACATATGCACAAACACTCTATCTGATTTATTCAGCAACCCCCCACCCACAAGTCTGAGTGAGGATTTTGCCCTTGTGCCCCATGTGTGATGGTATGTGTGTTTTCCAGGAATCTGGGGGATTTTGCAACCTGAGGGGGTTTGCATCTTGTGCCTAAAAACCTACACAAGGGGGCTGTTTTATGGGCTGATTCCAGTGTTTCCAGGCAGTCTGGAAAAGTGTTTGAAACTGAATTTAGCAGGATTTAAATTACATTTACAGAAAACAGAATTAGCCACATTATTGAAAAGATACAATATAAATGATTTTGACTTCAGTATTTCTAAAATCCTGGTTACCATCAGCAGCTTCAGTGTCTACAGAAGAAAACAGAAAGCCTAAAAAGACGACTGGGACATGATGGTGTTGTCTGTCTCAGCTGCAGTTAAATCTAAAGGTCCAGTTGTAGTTTTTTGGGGGTATTTTAAGTACAATGGCACTAATATGCAGTAATATGAAACTACAACAACTCCCCATGTTCTTCTTTGTTTCTTTCTTTCTTTCTTTCTTTCTTTCTCTTTTGGAAATCCTATTGGATTTTTTGACTTATAACCCCTGATTTATAACCTTTTGGGGACTTTTATTTTTCAGAGGTAAAACATGATTCTTCACAGCATAGTGATCTTTTACATTTTGTAATCTCCATTGTGCAAATGAAATGAGTTTATAGTTTCCCTTCCACCAGGTTTACAACAATTATTAGAAACTACACGCAGTTATACAAGCCTACTATTCAATACAATGCAGTCATGAAATGTACTAGGTTAAAACGAAAAAAACAAAAAATAAGCTTTGCCTTTGTAACAGTTAATCATGTGACGGAATTTACTTGGGGGGGCGGAACCACGGACAGTACTAATCCCACGCAGGCTGCGCGCCGGACTCATTACCGTGCAGCACTGTCAGACTCGGAAGCTGTTCGTTTGGTCGGAAACAGAGGGATGATCTGGTTGCTGTCAGTGTTGGTGCCTCTTCTGAGGCTGTACTTATGCGGAATTAAAGTTCTTATCTATCAGATGTTCAACAGATCTTTTACGCTACCAGGTCAGGTCGACTTTTATTTTCTTAATGTCTTTTACAGTGTGCTAAGCTGTATTCTTCAAAGGTCTTATCTCCCAGTGTTTAACTTACAGTACGTGTGTTTGCATGCCCAACTCCGTTAAAAAATGTTTCCAAAAAAAAATCTTGAAGAACATGGTTGAACTTAAGTTAAGGCTTTTTGTTAACGGTTTCTTAAGCATGCATCTGATACGTAAAGTACGTAAAGTTTACATTTGAGGAGTGGTTCCCTCTATATTTCTTCCAACAAAATAATGACAGTTAGGCTTGTGAAGCAAATCTGAAAAATACGACGGTAGTGTAAAGAAATGCAGCCGGTTGAATGAACTGTGTACGGAATTAAATAGAAGAGCAACTATTGACAGCCAAATACTTTATGGTTGTAGCTAGACATGGCGGCGTTAAATTGGCGATATTCTGAACGGAGTTTGGTCACATTGACGATAAGAGTTCACAGCCTGTCCCAGCGCTGTTTTGCCAGCTACAGTGACAGTTGATGGACACATTTTTACAAGTAAGTAGTCAGTGTAACTTTGAGTCCCAAGTGTGTCTAATATTGTATGTGTCTGCTAGAGTAATGCTGTTTTTATTAGTGCACATACATTTAAACTAGAACCAGCCTGTGACCTTTATACTACATGCTGTGCCCAGTTAACTTCATGTGCTTTTAAAATCCACTCTTTGAGGAAAATACAGCTGAATGTTAAAAAAAAGTTAGCTACATTTATCATGGTTACTCAAACATCTCTGTGAGGATTCACTCCCCTCTGGCCTCTACTGCAAATGTCTAGATTGAAACTGTGTAGCTTTTTCAGGAATAAGGCATAGCTGTATCCATATGCATTTTGTAGAAGAAAAATTGCATTTAAACGTGAGGGTAAAAATATCTTGCGTCACCCACAACAGGCTAGTCCATTCCAGGTGCAATTCTGGTAAGTATTAAAGAATCTGTGTAAGTAAGTAAGTTGTAGTTAATCTTTTTATCTGGAGAACAGCAGCAGTCTGTAGCCATAAAAATACTGTGTGACCCTGGTAAAACGATACGGTTTAAAAAATACAATCACAACATCAATAATGATATTTTCTGATATCGCAATATGGTAGGGATGGACGATAATTATCAGGGTCGACACTGGGCAATGTTTATTATTCAGATTTTTTAATAATTTTTTTTATCAATTTTAATTAATTTCAAAAGCTAAAGGTTATGAACATCTTTTTAAAATACAAAAATGTAAAATTATAGTGATGACAGTGTTTATAAAGTGTTTAATTTAAATTTTAAACCCATAAACCAAAAGGTAATTTGTGTTAAAGCATTTGACGGTAGACTGAGAAATCACTAATGCTTTTCATTTTAAGACAAAGAGGTGATTGTGTCTACAGGCAAGCCTTGAGATTTATACTCTTGTAATCCCACAAAGAATGCGGGCAGTTGATTATGCAGAGTGCAGATAAAAAGGTGATTTCCTAAATTCTTGGTATTTACAAGCAATATCCCACACCGTGACAAAAAGATACAGCCTGACTGAAAAAGTCCAGCTTTAGAACTGGGCTGCTCTTTCTTTTTTGTGTGTGTTTTTTTTTTTAGGAAAGTGTGTCGGCGGTTATTTTAACCACATATCCAAAATGCAAATGAAGGTTTATGTCTATTATCATCCTCCACTACATTGTGAAACATTGAGTGCACAAATACGTGGAGTAGGTCAAAGTTGAAGCAGGAAGTAGCTATGTAAGATATCAGATTTACTGCCCTAGAGGACCAGTGTGTAGCATCTAGCGGTGAGATTGCAGATTGCAATCAACTAAAAACCCCATGTATGAAACAAGCAAAAAATGTGAAAGGCCCTATCTAGAACCAGTGTTGGGTTTGTCCATTCTAGGCTGCTGTAGAAACATGGCAATTCAACGTGGCAGACTCCATTGAAAAGGAGTTGCTCCCTCTGTAGATTAAAAACTGCTCATTCTAAGGTAACAGAAACACAACAGTTCTTATTTTCAGGCGATCAAACACTAATTAACATACCTATAAAAAAAATATATTCTGTTTCTGCCAATAGATCCTAAATGTTACACACTGGACCTTTTAACCTGATCTGGTTTTATGTGTGCATGTTCGTAGTTGAAAGATTCCCATCTCCACAAATGCTATAATGTTTTTATCAACATCTTCAAATGTTTATTTCACTATTCTTGTTAGGTACTCATAAATGAAGGCATCCAAGTGGATTGCTTACTGAAGGAACCAATGGAGGGTAAAAGTTCAGGACCTTCATGTTCTGGCCTCAATCTGGTCGCACACCCACGGGCAAAAAGCAAAGTCTGGAAGTACTTTGGCTTTGACACAGATGCAGATGGCTGCATATTGCACTGGAAACGGATATACTGCCGCGTATGTATGAGTCAAATAGCTTACTCCGGAAACACCTCCAATCTGTCGTACCACCTTGAAAAGAACCACCCTGTAGAGTTCAGTGAGTTTGTGAAGAGCAACACAGATCAGATGCGCGAGGCGTTCGCCACAGCATTCTCCAGGATAAAAACCGAGCCTTCAGGTATACATGCTCAGCAACAGTCCCAGGACACAAACTTAAGGCAGAGCTTAGACTATGAAAACAGACGACACAATGATCTGACTGCTGCTGTCATCAACTTCATCTGCGAGGGGTTGTACCCTGTGTCTGTAGTTGAAGAACCTACTTTCAAGACCTTAATGAGTACGGTTGATCCTGGGTATTCTCCACCAAGCAAAAGCGACCTGGCAGTTAAAATGCTTCCTCAGATGTATTGCCGTAGTCGAGACATCGTCTTTAGTGAGCTTGCTGGGGTTGTGAACTGTGGTGTTACAACGGACCTTTGGCAAAGCCAAACCCAGAATAGAACATACATTTCACTCTCTATGCATTCAGTTAATTACTACAGTACAACTGGCTTCTCCATGACCAACAAATGCCTTAAAACCTTTGAAGTACAAGAGGACAACACAGCAGAGAACATCACCAGAGCGATGTATGAAGCCTTTGTTGAATGGGGAATAACTCATAAAGTCAGCGGTGCCACCACAAATGGTTCAGTAGACATTGTCAAAGCATGCTCGCTCCTGGAATTATCAGTGGAAATGCCCTGCCTGGGGCATACCATCAATCGGGCAATGGATGAAGCCTTTCAGCTGCCGAGAGTCGACAGCTTTTTGGGATGTTGCCGCAAACTTGTTGACCATTTCAGAGAACCGGCAACGTATCTGCTGAGAGAAAAACAGAAGCAGCATGGCCTAGCTCAGTGTGCACTCATCACAGACAGGGGTAGGTCTTGGTTGGCAACATTGGCAATGTTACAAAGACTGAAAGAGCAACAGGTTGCTGTAACTGCAACACTAGTGGAGGGTTCCAGCAGCCATCATTTCAGCTTCGATGGTCCTGACTGGGCCTTGCTGGAGGGCTTGATTGATGTCCTCCAACCTTTTAAAGTTGTGGCCAACATGATAAGTTCTTGCAGGTACCCAACCATTAGCATGGTTAGGCCTGTGCTTCATATGCTGTTGAACACCACCCTCAAGATCAAGGAAGGAGACCTTAAGGAGATCAGCATGACCAAAGAGGTCATCTCAAAGGTCCTATCAAGCACCTATTCACAGAATTCACAATTATCGCAAGAAATTTCAACATTCCTCAATATTTCCACCTTCCTGGATCCTCGGTACAAGAAGTTGCCTTTCTTGTCCACTCAGGAACGCTCTAAAGTTGAGAATTACATCATTGAGGAGGCAAAAGCAATTCTTGAGAAGCAGATTGCAGACCGACCATGCCTAGATGATTTCTCCTTGGTATCTGATGAGCCACCTAGCAAAAAGCAGACACCCCTAAGGGAATCTTCAGCCAGCAGCGTAACCCAAGACAACCCTTTGGCCGCGATATTTTGCCAGTCTGATGCAGACCAGAGCCAGGAGGAGCTACATGCACAGGTGGTAGAGGAGCTGAGCAACTACAAATCTCAAAGAGTCCTAGGTCTAAATGAAGACCCTTTACTTTGGTGGTCAAGTCATGCACCCTTGTTCCCCACCCTCCTCAAGGTACTGCAAAAGTACTGGTGTGTTCCTGCCACAAGTGTACCTTGTCACAGGCTGTTCAGCTCCTCTGGGACTGTTCTGTGTGGGAAAAGGAACCGTATAGCTCCAACTTTAGTAGATCAGCAGGTCTTCTTGTACGAGAACTCGCGTAGCTACTATGAGCCTGAACCCTGTGAGGATGATTTGGACAATGTTTGGGAAGGAAACTATTGTCTGGGTCAGCCACTTGAATGACCGTGTGCTTAAAGTCAAATCATTCTGTGCATTGTGTGTGGCCTACGTGACAGACTTGCTGAAGCATTGAAAAATATTTATCAGTGTATCAGTCACTAGTATGAAAATGTAATGGGCCTGTTATTAATGTAATTAAGTTTTGGCCTATAATCAATATGAAAATAGTTTTTTGCGCCATGGCCTTTTACAAGAATTGTCAATTTTTTTAGGGGGTTAAAATGCTTATTTGCGTTTTCTCTGAGAGTGACATCAGGAGATTGTTCTCAAACAGGTATATTAACTACAGAGCTAAAGCCAGGATATGTTTAGCGTAGCTAGCACAAAGACTGTAAGCAGGAGAAACTGCTAGTGTCCATCTTTATATTTTTAATTATACCTGCCAACACCTGCATTTCATTGTGTGTAACATTGAGTATGTTAGCATGCTGATGTTAGCATTTAGCTTAAATCACTCTTAAGCCCCGAATACACTCCCAAACGGACGTGTACATGGACAGCTGCAGAAACCATGTCTGCATAGTAGCTGTACTGTAAAATTTAAAACAATAGCCCAAGCTTTTATTTGCTTCAATCACTTGACCTGCCTTTATTTGCCCCCAGAGACCAGGTTTTATTTGTCAAAACATGTAGCCACGCAAGGCTAGTAAAGGGGCTCGCATCTAATTGGGACCCTGCTTTTAATTGTTTTAGGGTATATACTATTTTCTGGGGTCTGTTTGGAAGATCGTTTTCTCATCTCAGTCACAGAAAGAAAAAACGTAGGAGTGTATTAAAGCCTATAAGTCAAATAACTTTTTTTATACATTTTATTTTAGTTATTGCACAAATGAGAGAAAATTATATGATGTCAACTGCTATGGTTGATGCTTATATTGGATCCAACAAATCTGTAATCAAAACCCGAAAGAATTATAGTAAATATATAGAATAATAATATGTTGCATCTACTCAGTATGCTGTAAACTCTGTTGTTTCTTTTTGGCCTTTTTGTTGCACTTTTAATTGTTTGGGGGTTTTTTTGTTCATTTTGTTTGGGATGTATTTTGTAAATACCTACAATATATGTATATTGTAGCATTAACAACAATGGACAAGTTTTAAAAATGTCTTGCTCTGTAGAACACTGGCACATATACATTATGATGTAAAACAACTTTATGAAAGTAAAGATTTTGTTTTCAATATTTACCTGACTGTCCAATTTTATTGCAACATTGATGCACATTTATAAATACAACTGTTTATCTTCAACAGGGGCAACAGATTCTATTGTAATTGATTCTTGTCTTAATTACAGATTAGCCCTTTAGTCCACATAGATTACCCTTCCGTTTCGTCTGTCAGTCAGTTGGCTGTCAATCTGGATTGATTGCAGTTCCATTCTGTTGCTTCAAATTCTGTGTGGCAGCATCTTGTCTGACACATGAACTGCTGAAAAGAAAACAAATTCTTAGAGTCCCTCTTCCCTGCAAGGTCAGGAACTGGATCAATGAGACTCAGTGAAGGGCAAGGACAGTGACGCAATTACATTTAACCCTACCTGTTATTTACACAGGACAGATTCTAATCATATTGACACTGATCAAAAAATAATAATACTGGAAATGAAAGATTGTTCTCATGTGGTCCCCTCTCTCCTCCCACAGTCTTACCCAAGCAAAATGGAAGGGTTGCCATTGTGACTGGGGGTACCAGAGGAATGGGTTTTGAGACAGCGAGACACCTGGCAAGTCTGGGCATGCATGTTATCATAGGTAGGCTACTGTCCAATCATATGCCTTTAGCCAGATTATAAATACCCTGCTTCTCCCTGCAAGTTAATGCATCTCTGTGCAGTCCAGCTTTAATGTGTCATTTTCTTCTCTTTACTTCCTTAACTTTTTACTTTAAATAAATAAGGCAGCTGCTGTCTAAGAAGAGACCGGTTATGCGCCATAATTGACCCTTCCTCCCCTTTTTGCCTTGTGCTCCGCCATAGTCAGAATCCTAGATAACGTTCTCCTTTTCTGTACTTGGATATACTATTCTATGTTGAAAAGAGAACCAAATTTTGAAGATTATTAAAAGATGAAAACGATATGTCACATTTTAAGTCAGCTAATGTTAGCAAATTTTAGCTAACTAACAATTTGTGTAAATAAGCTAGGTAGTTAACTAGCGTCTTCCTAACTTTAGCTTCAGATGAATAAACTAGCTTAAACTTGATGTAGATTAGCTGGTTAGCTAGCGTTTACTAACATTAGCTAATTTATTATGCGACTATATCGGTTTTATCTTTGAATTTCAACCTAGATGAGCCTAGCACGTTGACTGAGGTTTGCTCAACTGTTACTGGAACACAGAACAAAAAGGGGCGGGATTTAGGAAGGGTTGATTGTGTATAATTATTATTTATTTTAAGACTTGCGTAACAACATAGGGGCCAAATTTGTGCTGTCCTCTTTTCAAAGTTCTGTTTTTGGGCATTGTGAACTTAGCTTATGATGCACATGTTCATGATTGGTGGCTAATTTAAGCTACAGCCTGATCATCACATTGTGTGTACGTTTAGATTTGTGGTTTATATCCTAATATTGGACACAGTGTTTTTGATTTAGTGTATCAAAGATTTAATATTTTTCATTCAAATTGGTGCACATTGTTTGAAATATTTAACAGACCTACGAGTGAAAGATCCACCAGTAGCCTTTGGAGGATCTGTTGCTTTGCACCGTATTATATTAATTCCATTGAACTGACTCACTGAATTAATGATCTTACATTTTAATCAAACAGCAGGAACCATCCCCTGCAGTCAGATGCTCTGTGATTACATGTTCTTTGTTTTGTTCTGTAGTCAAAGTGATTTAAAAATAAAGCTTAGATGATGTTCTATGTATGACAATGATATTGATCATTTTAAGGATACATGAATACTTGCAAAGAGAGATGTCATGAGCTTTAGCCAGTCTTGTTGAGTCAGTGCAGGCAGTAGGGCTGAGTTGAAGTATCTGCTGGACATCTGCCCACCAAGCCTCTCTGATTTCCATCATCTTCAGCTGGGAACGAAAAAGAAGAGGGTACAGCAGCCGTCAGGATGATTCAAGAAGAAGGCAGCAAGGGGAAAGGTAATCATCTGTCTCGACCTCAATTTGTCTTCAGTCACATCTGTCATTTAAGTCAAGTTAAGACATTGTGTAGAAAGTCATTTGTAATCATTAATTTTGTTGCAGTTAAATTTTAGAAAATTAGCCACAAAATCTTTCTGTTATCACTTTAAATTAAACCGATCTAATATCAACAAATAAAAATAATAATGCTTTTATATTTTGCAGGGCAGGTTTTATATGAAACAAACTTTTTGCTGCACACTCTCCTCATAGGATAGCCAAATTGTTCTCTGAAATTATCAGTCATGTCAGCGACAGCGGTGTGTAAATTGTATACTGAGACGTGTGCCAGCTTTTCAGCAACATCTTGTGGATAAAGATGTGTATGTGTGTGCGTGCACATCACGTGTGACCTCCAGATGGTTTTAACTTGTTACGATTGGCACCGTGCAGCTTCCAGCTGGCATTCTGGCACAGTCACCACAGCAGGACGCTCCTGAGCAGCAGCTGCCAGTTGACGTGACAGATCTGTAGAAGGCAAAATGTTACTCCCTCTGTGTGTAGGTTAGAGGGGTATAAGTCTTGATTATGGGTTGCAAGAAATTATTGCATGGATACTTTCGGTCTACTAATGAAGGTGCATATATCAGAGTTCATAGAATAGCCCATCATGAGGGACATTTTTTTCTGTGGCTTACCAAGACCTAATTATATGGCAGCTTGTAGATGCCAAAAAAATGGACCAGTATCAATTTATAACTTGAGGTTTATTGTTATAACAAGATGTTTTTCACATTATTAAGACATACAAAGTTATCACGTTACAAGAAGAAACTTCTTGATTTTGTGATATACAATTAATCTTGTTATAATATTATATATATATATATTGTATTCTAAATATATAGATACATTTAACTTAAAATTGTAATTTATTGTTATAACATGAAATGTTTCATATTATGATAACTTATATTGTTATAACAAGAAATATCTTTACGTTATAATGTGATCCTGGTCCTATTTTCTTTTTCTTGCCGTGACATGATATAAAAAATAACAAATAAATAGTTATAGGCAATGTAATCAGATCCTTAATGTGAGTCATTAACAAGACTATGAAACCTTTAAAGAAGAACTAGCACATTCTTCCTTTCACAAATGAAATGTTAAATCCACAAGCAATAAAACAAACTGCTGCTCAATTGCCACTTTACTTGGTCTGCTATGACTAGTAGTTTAGTGGCTAATGTTAGATATTGCTGTGGTACTGACATAAGTCAAGACAAGAGTCTGATCACTGACTTGAAGACTAGTCTTTACCTGTACTATTGTTACATTACAGTTTAGCAAGTTAAATATAAATATCGCAATGGTTTTATCTCAAAAATAGCATAGGCCATGACCACAGCGTATTTCAACAGGACAGGAATCTCGCTTCAAATAAAAGTGGTAAATACAGTGTAATTTTTAAATTTCATTTAAAATTTTGATTTAAATTAAAAAAGTATACAAATATACAAAAGTGAATGTAGACAATTGCATTATCATATATTATTGGATTACAGCTTGTCGTGACAGAGGTAAAACTTTAACCTTTAATCTTTAATCTATAACAATGGGCAATATTTTAGAAAATGTGCAAAGTAACTACTAACGATGGTACAGCCATCAATATAAATGTAGTGGAGTAAAAAAGTTAAAATATTTGTTTTGACAAAAATTCTTAGTGTCAATGGGACCTTCGGCTTGAAGAGTTAAGCACCATAACATGGTAATATTTAAAGGGACAGTGCACCCCAAAATTAAAAATAGATGTGTTTTTTGTAAATAGCACTACAGGTAAGAGGAAACTGGCCCTTTAGTAGAGTGCAAGTACCCCAAAATTGTACTTAAGTTAAAACACCAGGATGAAAACGTGTCTCAGAGAAATGTGTGGTTCATTATAAATGAATATGTAATGTGAAATGACTCCGAAACACAAGGGTTTGGGTTGTTGTTGTTTTTTTTTGGTTGAAGTGATTTATTCTGAGAAGACATCAAATTAGTTTTGTTTACTTTTGTACTTATAACATAGCTCTTCCCCGGGGTGTCTGTAGAGAGCTGACCTATTTCCTTTCAATCTAAAAAACTAATCAGAAAATACTCACTTTGTACAAACTGCACTGATGTCAACCCAAGGGCCAATGACTGAACAGCACTGATGAAAGCAGCTTTAAATGGGACTCATGAAGGCGGCCAGGTGTTCATAACCTGATTGAAGTGATGTAGAGGCAAGAACATTTTCAAATCTTCCAGTGGAGTGAATTTCATCCTAAACACAGGAGAGTGCTGCACAAATAGGCCAATCTAATGACCGCCATCATATCATCAATACACAAAGAGCTCTTTGTTTCAGTCCGACTGTGTGTGGGAAACAGTGCTAATTAGACTTACTGATTTTCTGAAGGCCTTTTCATGTGCTTCTTTACATGGACATGCTGTAGCACGACCTTACTTCAAACCCTACTTTTACCCTCTCTTCTGAGGCATCTCAATTAGTGTAATGCAGAATACGCTGCAATGGGGGAGTTTAATTGATTTAATTAGGTGCTTGAGCAGTTAGCTCGGAAAAGCCACAAGCAGTGGCAAGTGACTCATGAATAACATGCCTGCAGTTGCTAAGAAATAAGACTGTACCAGGGTTTAGAGAGCTGTACAGAGCTTTAATCCTGCATTCAATGTAGACCTCCAAATCTGTTCTGTCTGAAATAATATTCTTAATAATATTCTTTTGTAGCACTTAAAGGTTCTATATACAAAATTCACTTTCCACTGGATGTTGCACTAGCATCTCAGACCAAAACAATGGGACAATAACAAAATAAAACTCAACAAACCGTCTTTCCAACAATCACCAACGCTCAAAATAAACCTTAATTTACAGAGTTAGATGTAAAAATATACGTCAACATTTATGCAATGATAAACTAACTGCGCCTGTCAAAATACATCCACTTAAAGTGCTTGTTTTTTTTCATTGTTATTCTTAATGTATTATGGAAAGGATCCCAGCAGAGATAGACCTTTGTTTAACCAGAAACAGCGATAATATCGCTATCACTCACCACCAGACTCGATAGACAAAAATGCTAATTTTAATCTTGCATTTCATTGTAATATTATAACTTAATTCAACAGGGACAGAAACAATCGCTAATATAGCTTTGTTAGTCTTTCCAACAATCATCAATGTTGATTTGGTCAAAATTAACATTTAATTCACTAATTTAGATATTATTCTAAAATATTCATGAAAAGGGCTCTAATGGCTGCAGCATAAGCCAACTACGCCTGTCAAAATACATGCCACGGACAGGCTCAGATTTATGTTCTAAGTGTAAATAAATAAATAGTTAAGTTAAATAAATAAACCTTTAGTTTAACCAGAAAAGGCCATAATATCGCTCGCCACCAGACTCCATTGACAAAAACTGTCATTTCAGCTTGAAAATCATTGTAATATCATTCAAAGTTGACAGAAACAAAAATAAACTCACCAAAACAATCTTTATTATTCTTTCCACTCTTCCTACAATCCCCAACTTTGGTTTGGTTGAAATAAATCCTTAATTCATTGAACAGCTCTCAACTCTCTGGAATCTGTGCTAACATAATTTTTCTGTTGACAGCTGAGTTCTTCTTCGTGGACCTGACTTCGCTGAAGTCTGTGCGACACTTTGCTCAAACATTCAAAAGCAGAGGTCTTCCCCTAAATGTTCTGGTTAACAATGGTAGGCTGCTTTGATTGTCTCTGTAAATGCATGAAAAGTCATACTTGTGTTATAGTTTTAAAATGTCTCTATCTTCTATCATTCTCATGTAGCTGGAACCATGCTGGTTCCTGAGAGATGTACAGAGGAAGGCTTTGAGCTCCACTTTGTGCTCAACTACCTTGGCCATTTCCTGCTGACCAACCTGCTGCTGGACGTGCTGAAGAGTTCGGGTAAACATGGCTGCTGCTCCAGAATCATCAACATGTCCTCTGCTACACACTACGCAGGAGTTATCCACATGGATGACCTAAACAGGAAGTAAGAGAAATCCATAAACTGTTGTTCTCTAGGTCACTAGGCAGCGTCACAAACACTTCCCATCAGCCTCAGCTGTACTTTGAACTGTACGGATTAGCAAATGCCAGTATGCGAACACACTAAACTAAATGCGTGTTAGCATTGTCATTGTAAGCCTGTTAGCATGCTGATCATTAGCTCAAAGCATCATTATGGCTAAGAACAGCCTCACAGAGCTGCTAACATGGATGTAGTGTGTTAGCCGGTTTTAATCTGTCTCCCAACATTAAAGAAATACAAGATTGAATGAAGATTTTAGTCCTTGAGTGTGGAAAAGGCTTTGAAACAACACTCAAATGAACATGGACATAAAATATTAAAGCTGTAGTAGGTAACTTTTAGAAAAGTAACTTTCTGTCATATTTGCTGAAACTTTCACTATAGCCGGACAGTATGAGAAAGATAATCCATAAACAAATTCTCAAATTCAACAAATCAGTTCCTCTGGCTCCTCCTAGCACTCCTAATGGTATTTGTAAGAATCCACGGGCCTGAACAAAAGCAACCAATCAGAGCCAAACTGATTATCCGTCTCATGTACTACTGTCAGGATATAGTGAACGTTTTCAGAAAATAGGACAAAAAAAAATTCTAAAAATAGTAATTGGACAGTAGACTAAATAATCGGAATATGAGAACTCCAAATAAAACCTTTTAAGGACTTGAGCTTGACCAGTATTTGAATTTGGCCCTGTGTAGCTAACTTGCTAATCCAGCATGACACAAGATAATGCTACATCCTTTTGCTTGCAGTACATGGTTGTGTTACAGTGAAAGCTAAGGTAAAGAAGAAGGTTTTATTCTTATTTTTAGAATCAGTCTGTGTGTTTTGGAAAAGCAGACCTGCTCAGTTTGTACATATCTGCTAAGTGCAGACATCCATCATCTGAGGTCAGAGCGTGCTCTCCTGTAGTTGAATATCCTGCAGTTATTGGTTTTCATAGCAATATTGCCTCATAGATAGCACAAAGAGGAACACAGTGAAGTCCTTCCTCAAGGGCATCACAGTGGAGCAGCTCGCCTGCACTTTGAGATCTGATCGATGGCATTGTCTCATCTCAGGAAATGAGTGGATGTTGTCTTTGCTGTGTGTGTGGAAACAATGTGAGGGGAACACAAGGAGGCAGGCTGGTTTAGGTATTTAAGCTTCAGAACTGAATAGAAAAAAAAATTTTCAGTGGAGACATGAAAGCCGAGAACGGCCATGCTTTTTTTAAAATTCAGTTATCTCGAGTTAATTTTTTTCCATTATCCAACGATAATCAATTCGTTAACACAAGAACTACTTTTTATCAGAGATCAGGAGTGCCATGGAATTCCCAAACATTTCCATGCCAAGGCCCCACAAATAGCATTAGGTAATGGCCGAAGCCCCCCTTTTGCAAGATGTCATTAAAAATCCATTGACAATACGACTTTTGAACCAGACTCTCATTTCTCTCAAGTTCTCCATAATTATCCTGTGATCTTGAGAAAAGTTTTCTTGTGATTATCTTTAAATTAATTTATTATTAAGATAAATTAACTCTTATATTCAGATAACGGCATTGTCTTCCATATAGTCCTTTGCACTAAATACTACATAGTACAGGCAACATATCAGTAGCTATAATGTTCAAAATTCCAAACTATTCCACACTTGGTATCAGCCTCCAAACCATCATAGTGAACCCACAGCTGAGAACTATAATCAACTGTGATAGCTCAGGGCGAAGCTGGCAGAGCTCATTTCAATGACAGCATGATTTCAAAATTAATCTGCACACTCTCGTCCACTCCCCCTCCCCCCTTCTCCAGGATAAGCTACAGTTCCCATGGTGCCTACTCCCAAAGCAAACTGGCTCTGGTCCTCTTCACCTACTACCTGCAGGAACAGCTGGCGGCCGGTGGCTTCCCAGTGACCGTAAACGCCGTGGACCCTGGCATGGTGGACACGGCGCTGTACGACAACCTGTGGAGCCTCGCACAGGCACTGAAGAAACCAGTGGCCAAGATACTGTTCAGGGTACATATTTACACTTCAGTTAATTTACAATGAGCATAAAGAGAGAATATAAAATTATATATTTTTCACGATGTAGACGTTTTGCAAATTGTGCAAAAATTCTCATTAATTGAAAGAATTTGATACATCAACCAGCCTTTATCTATCCTATAATGTGATTTGTGAAGATGACTTGTTACTTACTGCCTGCCTGATAAGTATGTAAGTAAATATTTATTAATACAGCTCTTTTCAACAAAAGACTCAAATAGTTTCACAATAAAAGTACTTTGAACAAAATATGAAACAGTTCCAAACAGTCGCATAAAGACTGAAAGTAAAAAAGGGCCAACAACAGACCTTTGAGGCACTCCAAAACACAATAGGCCAATATCTCAGCATTCCGTCTATTTCTGTGAAGAAAACAAAATTAAATTGTTTGCTTAGATAGAATGTAT